CGCCGCGACGCTCACCACACGCTTCGTATTTGTTTTTCATGATCTTATCTATCTGACAGTTGCGTGTCATTTTTATTGCATATTGTTATCACCGGCATCTCCACTCTTGGTTCCCTGCTCCGTGTCACTGTAACTAGGTTAAGATTATTTGGCGTTCTCACGTAGAAATAATCATTTATATTTGCACATGGAAGGGCGCAGGTGCTGTTGTGCGAGCTTTGACAGATAGATAGGTGAGAACCGTTACGCAGAGCGCCTGCCAGTGTCATGTGCCAAGTGTCATGTGTCATAAGTATCGCGTACTTTCATCATCAGTCGAACCATTCTCATTGGCCTTCTGCGCTCTGCGTATGCAACGTTCCTATGCGCTTTGATTTATACCCGGTGAGTTTTCTAGGCCACAATTATTAGCTAAATAATAAATTATGCTACATATTGACGAGGGTAGAAAGTTGGGCAAGTTGGTGATTCCCAGACAGCACACGACGTCGGGCCAACATTGGTATTTAATGGGCAAACAATGGTCCAATATTGGGCCAATGTGGCCATCGTAGAACCACTATTGGTGGTACACTGGAATATACTGGCCAACGTTGGCCTGACTTGACCAACGGCTCACCAACGTTGGTAATCGATTGGCTTAGGCTGGCCAACGTTGGCCTACCTCAGCCAATGGCTTACCAACGTTGGTAATCGATTGGCTTAGACTGGCCAACATTGGCCAACCTCAGCCAACGGCTTAGCAACGTTGGCAATTGGTTGGCTTAGGTTGGCCAACATTGGCCTGTCTTAGCCAATTGGTTACGAACATTGGTAATCAATTGGCTTAGGCTGGCCAACATTGGTCTATGTTAGCCAATGAGTTGCCATCATTGGTAATCGATTGGCTAAGACAGGCCAATGTTGGCCAGCTTAAGCCAATCAATTACCGACATTGGTAATCGATTGACTTAGGCTGGGCAACATTGGCCGGTCTTAGCCAGTGGCTTACCAATGTTATATATAATTGGCTTAGTTCTTTTAATGTGCTGATCGCGCACGCTGAGAACAATCTCTAGCTATGCCTCCGGGGGGAACGATTCTTTTGTTTTCACACGCAGAGCAAGTTAGCAACTGAATTAGAACGCTGTATGCATTGCGAGCTGTAGCAAGTTTGAACCTGCACGCAGAAAAAAACTGTGTTCGGTGACAGGTTAAAAATAAACGCTGGGGGGGAGGTCGACTCCTCCTGATCTTTCGATCTACAAATATGGAAAGAGATGGGAGGAGCTTCTACCACCTGTCACCGACTATAACTAACACGCGTCTTCCCAAAACTGATATGCTTAGTAAATTCCACATGAAATACAAAATGCACGCTTCCTTCGATTTGTGTATATGTTTATACGGCAAAAAGCATAGTGCCTCTTCTCTTATGCCCATTTAGCGACGCAGCCGGGAAACCTTTCCTAAGAGGGGGGGGGGGGGGGGGGGGCGGCAGGGTTCAACCCTGAAATTTCCACCCGCCTCCCCAACCTAGGACACGGGTGTATTGTCAGCTGTATGTGATCCTGATAATCTCAAGGCAACCCGCTTTGCTCAGCCGCAAAACGCGGCCTATAATTCAGACTGAACCGGACAAAATTAAAAAATAAATAAAAAGCACTAATAATTTTAGCAAAAAAATAAAACCTTAAACAAATATCCAGCGACTGATTAAGCAATTACATGTCTTCACGAATAAAAAAATTGCGTTGAATTAACATCTCGAACACCCTATGTTTGAGGTAGGAGGTGACATAAAGCTGAAGTGCATTTCAATCTGCAAAGAAAGGTTATCACGCAACATATAACAGAAGAAGCTGAGCATTATGCCTGCTTGCCCAAAAATGACTTCAAAGTGCATACAAAATACGGCAACTGCAGTACTGACTACGGTAGTGACAACGCCGTCAGAAATATAAGCTGTAACAGAGCCAACGGGTTACCAAAGTTGGCAATCGATTGGTTTAAACTGGCCACCAATTGCCTGTCTTAGCCAGTGGCCTACCAACGTCGGTAATTGATTGGCTTAAGACCGGTTCACACAGTTGCGTTTGACTGCGTTTGACTGCGTTGCGGCAGCGAGACACCATGACATTCCTGCTGCTTATATCGCGTGCCAAGAAGATTCCTTGAATTGGATTCCACGCTTCATACGAAGCACAGATGTGCCGGCATGCTTTCGGTTTTCGCCGCAACGCAGTCAAACGCACTCAAACGCAAGTGTCTGAACCGGCCTTTAGTCTGGTGTGATGAGCGATCTCGCGACCAGCGATCCCGCGACCAGCCGAAGAGGACGAGAAAGAAGAAGACGAGGTGGGGGCATGCGAGGAGCGCGAGAGGGGATTCGGGCGGTTGACAAAGGACGGTGCAGACGCGACCTGGCCGGACCTCCGTCGGCGTGACCAGACGTCAAGAGGCCCGACCCACAAGCCACTTCTCACGCAGTCCGGGCGCCAACCTTCCGGAGGTAGACAAGACTGCATGCGTGGCGCAGTTGAACACCCGCTGCCACTCCGTGCCACAGACGTTCTGGGCCTGACTCAAGCCTTCGGCCAACGCCCAACTGCCTCGTCGCTACGTCCTTCGGCCCAGACCTTGGCGCACACCTGGTCATAGGCTGCCACCGGCGTACGGGGCCTGATTCAAGCCTTCGGCCATCGGTCAACTGCCTCGTCACTACGTCCGGACCTCGGCCCTGACGTCGTAGACCCCTGATCATCGGCTACCACGGGTGCTACGCCGCAAGGACTGAAAAGTCGTGAGCGAGGGACTTTTTAGGGGACACTCAAGCGTTAACATTTGTTGAAGTGCTGCTTGGGAGCGTGCTTCACTAAGACCAATGTGGGTTTGGAAGCGTTGATCTTTGACCTTTGGATCTTTTCGTAGATGCCATCAGTGCGAAGCTAACAATTGAAGAATCGGCAGCTTAAAAATGGTGCTGAAGTGGCTGCCAGGGTCTTGCGACAGGGGAGGCTGCAGGAAGAGGCGCTCGGAAGCCGTAATGGCTCCCCAGCCCCAGGACTCGCCCCAGGACCTTCCCCAGGACCAGGCATAGGCTCCCCGCTGAGCTTCCTCCCTAGCCCCTTTCAAAAAAAGTTCCGAAAAAAGTATTAATTGATCTTGAATTAGTCATTTGCTCGCCAGATAAAATAGTGCACAGACAAAGCATAGGAGGACCTTGCCATTTGTGCCCAGAATGTTTTTCTTGCAGTGGGCTGCTAATAAGAAACAGGCCAGGGGTTCTTAAAACCCAATGTTGGAATAACCAGGATTTAAACACATTGCCATCATTGCATAGCCAGCATTAAAGATATGGCATTAACACTGGGACATCCCAATGAATCAGCTTGACTGACGATAACGGCCTATTCAATGATTGAACTTGTGTACCAATGATGGCATAGCCATTGAATTAGTGTAAAAGCCAAAATTGGCATAGCCAGTGACATAGTGTGGATGCCAACGATGGCTGAAATATTGGTTTAACGATGGCCTAAAAAAGGTGCCAATGATGGCTGGATCATTGGTTGAACGATGGCCCAACGTTGGCACCAATGACGGCTGGAAGGTTGGTTGAACGGTGGCCCAACGTTGGTGCCAATGATGGCTGGATCATTGGTTGAACGATGGCCCAACGTTGGTGCCAATGGCTGGGCCAACATTGGAAGAAGTTGCGCTCGGCCAGAATACCAATGTTGGACCAACCTCCGGAGCCAGCGTTTGCCGTTGTTGGCCCAATGTAGGTCCAACATTGGTGTGCTGCCTGGGTTCATGATGATCAAAAAGCGGATCAAGACGACGGACCCAGAAGAACACACAGACACAGCGCTGTGTCCGTGTCTTCTTCTGTGTCCGTCGTCTTGTTGCGCTTTCTAATCATCTACATATTAAACTCGCAAGTATTGGAAGTCTGGTAGCAAGTTTTATTATTCGCATTTAGGTGTCCTGCTAATACACCTTTTTGATTATTTTGATATTTGATTGCACTTTTATTCTCTGTGTGCAAGTGCGTATCTAAATCTATTTATTAAGTGATTTTTACTTATTTATGTTTTCCTGTTTATTACCTGGCCCTCGACACCGCGACAGACACCCAGTCCGCAACTTAGCGATAAATTTTGAATACTCCTGGTGTAGATTTACTTCGTTTCACCTTACGTCCAGACGCAGCCGACGCTACGAGCTGATGGGTCCGATCAGACAGCGTCAAAAGCGTACCATCAGGGTGTTCGGCATGTTGATGTACGTGCCATATAGCATCAGTGAACCAATCATAAACATAAACGGCATATTGACTTGCGCTTTCGGCGCTGTTTGATTGGTCCCATTAGCTCGTAGAGTCGGCCGCGTCTGGACTTAGCTGATAGGAAGTATAGCTGCATCACGAACATTACGACGTGAGCCCTATTGAGGATTTTGCTTATACGAGTAAGTACCAAGCCCTGAATTTTGGAACCCAGGTTGGCGCGCCACATCAGCCCATTCTGTTACACCGCTAGCTTCTACCTCAATCTTGTGACGGAAGAGAACCGCCCGAAATTCCGCCTGTGTTCGTTCGTGCATGCTGTGCGGCACTCTGCATCTCCTTCGATAAAAGCGCCTACATACATTTGAACACATACACCCGAACGAGAAATGCGGAGGCACTTGGCTGTAATACCCTGTGGAGACTCTGATATTCTTCGGAAGAGAGGTGCTGCGCATTTTCAGAGCGCGTTCCACAACCCACCATATACTCCGTTCACCCTTAAGCTGAGACTGCAGCCAATTTCACGAGCACGAGAGCTCGAAGTCGTTGCTTAGAAGCATTCTTCCGGATGAACGAGCGCTCGTGCCAGAAATGCGCGTCTCAAGACCAGGAAGGTGGGCTAGCTCGCACTTGTATGTTTGGTTGCAGACTCAGCTTAAGTAAGAGCAGAGCATAGACAACGATGGCATCGCGCAGAAGACGATTTTACCGGAATGATCTACAGTACCAGGCACGCCGAAGGCGAGCAGTCCGAGGCGGTAGTTGGGCGCCACCACTACGACGCCTCCGACGGCGGCGAAGGCGCTGCCGTCGTACCAGTCCCCACCGCCTCGGGAGAAGCCCAGGCTGAAGAGGAAGAGCAGCACGGTTCGCACCCCGGAGCACGGCTCGACGCTGATGTGGCAACCGGACGCCGGCGACCAGATGTTCAGGTACAGGCAGTTTTCCTGGCGCAGTTGGTCCGTGTAGTTTAAGGGCGCTTCTGCCTTGGGCTGAGGACACCTGCGGTCGGAAAGACGAAGATGGTCTTGCGACGACATATGCCGTAAAAAGGGGGACACACCGAGCGGACCTCGGTTTTCATTAATCCGGGCCCGCGGGCGTCGAAACGAGGAAAGCATGGGTGTGAGGAATAAACTAATTCCACAGGGGGTACTGTAGCCAAGCAGGGTTAGTCCGTGTCTCCTTCGTGTGCTTTGTTTGTCCTCTAAAGCAAAATGTGTGACGCACATGCCCTGGTTATTATGTAAAGCATATTTTATTGGCCGCACTTGTGTTTCTAGTTCCGCGAAGTTTAGGCGTCACGTTTCTCTAATGTTGCATGCCGCGATCCTGGTGGTTGGTATTGGAAGTTTCGACGTAAAGTACGAGCGAACGCAACTTTTTTTGTCGTCGCAGGGTACCCAACTCAGGTTGCTGAGGTTTCTGTGTACTGTCAAGCTGCAGAGCAACACACAGCAGAACAAGCGTTCGCCATATCCACCACCGCTATTTTGACACCGCTAAGATCGTGAGTTTAAAAGCACCATGGTAAACTTCCACCAGCTCGCCTCCACACTGAGTGTAATAACTATAGGTTCAGTGTTTTCTGTATTTATTTTTCTTCCAATTCGAGGGTCATTTATCGGTGTATATTTTTCCTTTTAATCGGTGTTTTCCGGTGTCTAGTTTCTATGCGAGAGAGAAATCGGTGTTTATCGGGCTTGTAACGCGACTTTATACTTACTGGAGAAAACCTAATTTATAACTCACCTGAAATAACACAACTTCATTGAACACGTACCAAACACTTTACACAATTAATGAATGCACCAACAAGGGAAAATAAAAACTGAAACGCGACGCTTCCATGAGCATGAAATTCATACTTAAACTTATTGAAAACAAATAGACCGATCTATACCAGCCAGTTTGACTACGCCGCCACTGCCCCAATGCATCGAGGGAACTTCGGTCTTTCTGCACGTGCAATAACCATGGTGGGACTCCGCGCTTGTAAAGCATGAGACTGCACGAGTCCTCGCATGCACGGCCGTCTGCCTACCGTGAACTAAAGTTATGGCGGCGTCACGCATGCGCCGAACACTTAGTGAGATCGGTTTATTGACATGTGAATTGTGAGAGATTTGTCAGCCATTAGAGCACGCTCCTTGCGGCTTAGGAAACGCAGGCCACTAAACGCACGTTCTACGTTTGCGCTTCACATCACGATGCATGGGAAGAAAATTGAGGGAAGCTTTTGACAAGGCTGACCATTCTTTGCTGTGCGCTCTCCATAAGCTGCCAATGCAAACTTCAGGGGAATCAGGGGAAAGCGGTTCACCCTCCTCGCCCACCTCCCAATCCTTACGCGGCGCAGGGGGGGGGGGGGGGGGGGGGGGGGGATAATCGCTTCTCGGGAACCCTACAAAAGTACAAAGAGAGGCTTAATTACACCCCCCCCCCCCCCAAAACAAAAAAAATCAATTTTTTTAGGCGATTTTTATGGTGGGGAATACTACCCAATTAATATTTTGCTACAGAGTCGCGTATCTTTTTAATAAAGCCAAAAAACGCAACTGCTCGAAACTGAAACCGAAACCCCTGCACCGCACGGAGAAGTGGAGAGGAGAGAGCGAGTGGTGGAAGTCACGTAACTACACCCGACCGTGCGATTGTTTTTTTTTTTTTTTCTTCCGGGTGCAGCAGACGAAATGCGTTGCGGGATCCGTTCGCCGTGCGATTCCTTTGCAGTTATGTACGTTCCGCTTGCTACTCTGTACTTCAAGATGAGTTCTTATTTTGTACATTGAAGTTTGGAAAATGAGTAGTGAGTGCCCGTGATGAATTCCCGTGATCGGCTCCGAAAAGAATACTTCCAAGATGGTGCGTGAAGAGCTACCTCACATGTCCTGCATCTGAAAGTGGCATTGTGCGGAAGTGTCAAAAATGGAATCCCATGCAATTTAGTTCAGCAACATATCGTCCACAACAATTTTTTTTTAGTGATAGCTGTAAAAAAAGAATATAATAATAAACGTAAACATCGCAAAATGTCTGAAAAAAAAAATGGTACGCTCACACTACGGATCGAACCCGTGTCCACTGCGTGTGAAGCGGACGTCTTTCGACTTAGCTAATGAAGAAACTCCTTCGTTTGTAGTAATGCAGCCAGTCGACTGTATGTCGGAAAGTTTGCTGCTGATTTCCCTCCAGTACATGCACTCCCGGCTTAAAGTCGGGCAGCACCGCGCATTGGCCACATTCGCACCTAGTAAAAAAAACGTACGCGTGCGTATTCGACTCGATATATGTACTTCGTGCTTGACGTTTGAGCGAGCGATGTCTTTAGCCACGAGAAGGGACGACGGTTCGGCAACGTCTTCGTGCAATCGGCTTGCTGGTCGGGCGTATCGTACGGGATGAATATCAATTCTTTTGATCGGTGCAAAATTTCTCTTTCGAAGGAACACCGAATTCGCCGGTACCGTCAACGATAGTTCTGAACTAGAGGTCCCACACCCGTCGTCCGCTGCCACCCGCGAGTCCCACGAATTGCGAAACGACGCCATGTTGAGAATTATGCAGTGAACGCACAGAATGTTTCCGGTTGTCTGTGCAACTTTCTTTTTTTTTTCAATCAACGTATTCGAAGCTTTTTGTAAGCCACAAAAAATGGGTTTTATATTTGTTTTTTTCTATTTTTAGTATTGACTGTGTGCCTTCAATCACCCACGACTTTGATTCAATTAGGTGGTCGCGTCTAAACATTAGAAACGGCCCGTGACCCCGAAAAAGAGAGTAAGCGCGACTTAAACCGGCCAGTTCTCGATCGGCGGTTTTCGGGCGGAAAGAAACCGAATTTCTAGCCGCAAATTCTGTTCTGTGTAGTTGGGCTCTCATATGTCACGTACAACTAAAAACCTCGGCGAGCATAAATACCCTGTCAGTGTCCCTTTAAGAATCAGTTACTTTTGTTGAATTCTCCCACTCGAAGCCACTCAAAAATGCCACAAAAAAGGGGTGTCTTTTTTTCTTCCGCCCGTGGCGACTAATCATTTTTTTTTTTTTTTACTTTGCCGCCTAGTTTGCTTGTCGCTGGTGCGCTGGCTGCACCTCTAGCTGGTCTAGACGGTTCCGCACACATTGGGCGCGTTAAGTTAACGCGCTCGAGCGCGCTCTAGCGGTCAGAGTGCGCTCGAGCTAAACTAAACGACATCGTCTCACTTCCGGTGCACGGTGGCGGAGCGCGCTCCGCGAGCTCCGTCGTCGGCATAGAGATCATACATACTAACTCTAGAGGAAAAGGTCCGCCATTTTCCCACACATTCTGGCTGCCGCAAGCGGCGGATCATGCAGGCAGACCTTCTGGGTCCCAAACACGGTTACATCATCAGAGCAGTTTCGTGAACTTCAACAATTCACGAACTTACCGGTGGAAAGATATTCACGTTCCTTTCGAAGCTTTCTTTTTGAAAAGCGCGCAGATGTACGGCCTCGCGTTAACGCTAAACTAAACCATATACCCGGCCAGTGTTGCCAGATGGAGAAAAAAAAAGTCAGCAGATTGATCCCCAAAAAGTCAGTAGATTTGCACAAAAATCAGTAGATTCTACGAAATATGTGTTTTGCCATGTTTTGCTATCTCCATTAATACACACTTCGAAGAAATAGTATAAAGTAACATGGTAATAAACACAAATAAAAATGAAAGAAAAAAACAAGACCAGTTCTCGAGTAACTTTATATGAAGGACAAATTAAGATGGCTCCATAAATGTTTTTCTTTTAGTCATTATTGACTGTTTCGAGGATTATTCTTTGAAATGGAGACTGAGGCACTTTTGGGATCACAGATGAAGGCGACAGTGCGACTTTCACCTGTCGCTATTATTGAAACGAAACCGAAACAAGACGCTCCGGCAAGTGCGCGCGAACATGTCAAATGGACGTCCTCTGCATGCTGCCATCTTTCCTTACTGGGCTGTGGGAGGTTTTTGAAGCAACGCTGTTGGTCCGGAGCACTGTTGAGGCTACGCGTCGTCTGCTACGGGCTTATTTCTTTTTCGCCTGACCCAAAGTTTACGTTCAAACGTGGAGAAACTTCATTCGTTAGCTTTTTAAGCCACCGAGGAATAGGATTATATCATTTTCTTGCCACAGCCTGCCAAATAAAAGAAAATAACTGAAATTTGGATGTCGATCCCATGCATTCCGCCCGCTCAACTCGAAGCTATTCTAGTAGATTGTATAGGAGCAGCCGAGAGTTCAGGCGCATGCGCAAACACCTCTCGCTCTGCGCCGCGGGCTGATTGGCTCACTCGGGAGAGGGACGTTACGGCGAGATCATAGGCTAGCCAAACTCTCTCCATATATGGCTGTGGCCCGGATGTCACCGTCGAACCTGGTCGAACCTGCTCTGGGTGAATACATAGATGAATATACGGCTACGTCACTCGAATAGGACGGGCTTCTGGGCCATCTAGCCAGTGCTTCGTTTTTAATTCTGGGACATTATGAGTAGGGGTGTCGCGAACTTTTGTCGAACCAGATTTTTAGGTCGAACTTTCGGGGTTCGACTGGGTCGAACCGGTTCGACGAACCTTCGAACTTTTCACCAAATTCGACCGGTTCGACTTTGTGGACAGTGTGGCCAGACCTTGATACAAGCATGTCTATGTTTGGCGAATGTTTTTTTTAAAGAAAAGGGTTATTTCATTTTATAAACAGTTGCAATTAAAAGAAACTAATTCTAATCACTGAAAAGGTTAATAACTTAACTTTTTTGTACTGTAGTAAGTGAAATCACCAATCGGCGCTGCCCTTAATTTATCCTTTAGCCATTACCGTCCAATCCGAAGCCAACTGGCCAGCCTGTCGCGCATGCGCACACGAGTCGAACCTCAATGCAAGGTTCGTCGAATTTTTCACTAAAAGTTCGAAAAAGTCGAACCTGGTCGAACTCGAACCACGGCCGGTTCGCGACACCCCTAATTATGAGTTTCCTTTGATGGGAAACACTGG